TTTTTTATGAATTTAAAAAAAAATGTCAAAAATGTTTTTTTAGTGCTTTTTAAAAGAGTACTTGTAATGTACTTTTTCCTTCTTCTCACATGCTTGGCTAGAAAAATATTAAGTAGGGTCAAATTTTTGAAAAATACTTTTTAATTGGTTAAAATTTCGTTTTGTGTTTTAAACTTGTTTGTATAAAGGGTAAAAACATACACTCTTTACAGACGAGAATGTGAATTTTTTATTGTTTTGGATTTTTGAATTTTCCAAAAATAACAAATGTGGCTTTCTATTTAAAGCATAAAACTTTAAAAAAAAATTGCTTTCTATATTTGAAATATGAGAGATGCAAGATTTTGGAGATAAAAAAAGTAGAAAAAGGGACACAGTAAATTAATTTCGATTTCAGGAAAATAGAAATAAAAAGATATAAAAGTAGAATCCAATCAAGTATGTATGTCGAGGTCTACTTTCTTCCTTCCACAAGGAGAACGAAAAAAGAGTAAAAAAAAAAAAATCAAAAAAGCATATTTAGCCAACATAACCTCTGTTTATCTGCTAAAGCAACTAAAATAAGTATATTTAAATAATATTAATTAAAAAGCTCATTGAAAAAGTAAAAGTTTAAATTATTATAAGAATGGCACGTGTATAGCATTCAAGAAATACTAAAAAACTATGACATGATCCATAAAAAAAATGGCAATATCCAAGTAGGATCTACGGTTTGAGAATTTTAGGGAATTAGGGTGGAATCTAGACTTAAATTTTTGTTTTTTCCCATCCACGTTTAAAGTACAAAATGAATTTCGATCATAAGTAGAGTAAAATGAACGAAAAATTAAAAAAATGCATAGATTAAAATAGATGTTTTAAAAAATACAACCACCAAAATAATTAAAATTGAAAGTACATCATCAAAAAAGTATTTAAATTTAATTTTTAATTATGTTGAAAAACAAATTATTCTTTTTTTCTCTTAAAAAGATGGAATTTGTGATAATGGATATGAGGTTGAGAGGAAGAGGAAAAAAAAATAAGGCCCTTTGATTTTGCAATTTTCAGGCCCACTATTCAAAATCATTACTTTCTCTTAAGAATTAAAAAAAAAAAGAATTAATTAAAGGTGGCCGGAAGTGACCTGTAGTTGGGCGAGAGCGCGCGGCGTCTCCGTCAGAAACTTAACGGCGAGCGTCATCGTCGTCGACGTCGTTTCATATCCGGCCACCAGAAGCGCCAATAAAAAATCCACAATTTGGTCGTCGGAGAGCGCTTCTTCTCCGGCGAGCAGAGCTCCGAGCATGTCCTTTTTTCTCTCTCCGGCGTCGCTCTCTTTCCTCCGCCGCCGCACCACCATCCCCAATTCCTCCGCCACCTTCCTCCGGGCCTAAAATAATTTTTTGTTTTAAAATCGTATCTATTTAGTCTCTACTTAAAAAAATTTAATTAATTAATTACCTGAATGGCCCGACGGTAAGTGGCGGAGAAGAGGGGCAGAGGGACGGTAAAAAAACCTTCAATAACGAGAAGATATTCCTTCATCAGATTCTGAGTCCATTCGCACCGATCAAAACTCATCAGTTGCTTCACGGCTAACTCAAACGTTATCTGAAAATTAAAATAATAATAATAATAATAAATTTATTTTAATATACAACAGAATAATTATTAAACCCACGAGTTATAATTTATTATAAAAAAGAAGAAAAAAGTTTGCATGATCTGTACTGGAAACAGAATTATAGGCTTTTTTTTCATCACTTTTGTGTGTCTAACGTGCGCGTGGGAATCTGGGGGAGGCCCCGGAGGATGAGAAGCCCAGAAGGAGTAGTTGCTAACGTGCGCCGACCTGGTCGGGTATCCGAGTTGCCCGGGTCAACTCGGGTCACTTTAATATTATATTAATTAAGAAAAAAGAAGGAAGGAAGAGAAGATTAGAGAAGAGAGTGGTAGTAAGTAGAGTTACCTTTTTGGCTTCCTCCATGAGGAGGATCCGGCCGGTCCAGGAGTCAAGATTGAGCCGGATCAAGCGGTCCACGTCGACCAGGAGATGATCGCGGATGATCGATGAGTTGGCGAAGCTCATGGTGAGGGAGTGCATTTTCTTATGGAGGGTTCCTTTCATGAGGAGGAGAGAATGTTTGCCGAGCAGATTGGAGATCGAACCGGGGTAGCTGCACTCGAAAAGCTTCTCCTCGTTCTGGAGAATGAACCGGTTCGTGTCCAGATCGGCCGAGAAAACCGTCGGCTCGCCGAAGAGGTGGGTCGTGAAGACCGGGCCGAACCGGCGCACCCGGTCGTCGATGAACGGCTCCGGGTTCTCCGACTTGTAGGCGGAGATCAGCTGGAGGGTCTCGCCGACGAGGGGGAGGCCGAGAGTCCCCGGCGGGAGGCGGAGGCGCCGGAATCTGGCCGGCCGGCGGAGGAGGAGGAGGAGGAAAACGGAGGCCAGGAGGAAGAGGAAGAAGATGGCCATGAGGGATTGGGATTGGGATTGGAATTGGGGAAATGGGTTTCAGAGAAAATTAGATTATGGTTTTGAAATGGATCATTTGGGATATAAATAAAAAAGGAAAAATTAGAAAAATTTGGAAAAATGGGAAAATGGGGGGAGAGAGAGAGAGAGGGAATTGTTGTTTTCAAGGAGAGAGAGTGACGTTAATGAAGCACACGGGTGGTATCTCTGCTCTGCTCTGATAGAGAGAGAAGTAAAAAAAGAAGAAAGAAGAGAGATGAAAGAAAGAAGAGAGAGAAAATAAATGTCGGATATTTTTGTAATCTGACAGCTTTTTCTTTTTTCCTCTTTTTAATTTCTCTTCTTATACAACTTTTCCCAAGATAAAAACTCTTTTTCGAATGGGGAAAGGTTGAACCGATTTTGACTCGTGGATGTATTAATCGTTGAGTTATGTTGGTATCAAAAAAAATTATATCTTTGATGAGACTTTCATAGTTTTGATTGAGGTTAGTTTTAGTTTCGGTATTGTGATTTTAATAGCTTTTATTTAATTTGTGTGATTTGATTAAACTTCATAAATTATACATATTTTTTATTCACCGAGAGATTTACTTGGGGTATGTTAAAGGAATGGTTTTAGAATGAATGATTTTAGCGAAAGAGATTTTATGATAATTTATTTTTATTTCGTGAAAGTGAAGAGAAAATTTGACAAAATTTTTAAAAAGAGAAACAAAAATCCCAAAGAGAGAAATTTAAGAGAGTGATGGACAAAAATTTTAAATAGAAAAATAAATCTAGAGGAAAAAAATAGAGATAGTAAACAAAATTAGAGATAAACAAAGTAAAAAAGTGACAAAAATATTCTAAAAATTTAAGGTGAAAATAAGGCGAATATAAAAACAATTTTGAAAATTAAAAGAATAACCGTTTAAAACTAATTTTCTATTAATTTTTGGTAAAAATTACTTGGAGAATCATCATTGATAAGAAATCACTTATGAATTGATCAATGGAAGTAATTTTGGTACGAGTAAAAATAATTTTAACTATGCCAGAATCACTCTCAAGCTACCTTTACTAGTATTATTGTTTGCTCTGTCATAATTTTCTAGTACAGTCAAAATACTAGAATAAAAAAACATCAACTCGTTGTCACGTTAATTAAATAATGTATCACTTACTCAATATGGTAATTACAATAATAATTTGTTAGGGAGGACTAAGGGTGATCTTGGTGTTATTTTTTGAAATCACTTGTATATTATTGTCAAAAACATAAAAATACGTTTGATAGTGATTTTGACATGACCTATTTCCAATATCACTTTTATTTAAAAATAGTAATGTTTAACGATGATATGAGTGATAGCAAATTACATAGTTGATTTTGTATGTCAAAATTACTCTCAAACGTATTCCAAACCGTAAAATCTAAATTGAAACCTTAAAATCATCCGAACTAAATCGAAACTAAGTTAAAATTATAGGGACCGAAATTCTAATAATTTAACCCATAGTTGTTTCAATTTCAATTTTAGTAATTATAAGGTTAAAGTTACCCATTTGATCTTATAATTTATACTTAGTTTCAATTTTGGTCTCTTTTTAAAAATTTCAATTGAGTCGTTATCATCAAGTAAAACCTCACAAATAATTTATTTGAATACGTGGAACATCTTTTTTTATTTGATGTGACAATGAGTACGGTGAAGTTTGGCTAATTGTGTTAGTCATCTATACTAAGTCTAAGCTGAATAAAAAGTAGGAACAAATTGGTAGGTTCTTGAAATGGGTGACAAATGTCTAAGAACGATAGGTGAGATTTCAAAATCGTATAGATTAAACCGAAACTTTTAAAACTACAGAGATTAAATTAAAACTATGCCCAAACCATGTATTCAGTTGAAAACTAAACCTAGTTTTATATATTCTACTTATATCTCAAAACTTTATATAATTGGTTATTAGCCTAAAAGTTATATAATACATTTAATAAAAGTTTTACCTCAGCTCATATAAGCTTATGTTTTAAGTTAGACGTATCAAATCTTATATCAAATTTTAAAATGAATGGCTCAAATATGAAAGTTTGAAAAAAAATGATTTTTTTATAGGAAACTAGAGTATTAATTTGATTTCCAAATATATATCGATTTTTATTTCCATTTCTAGCTCTTATTTTTTTGGTAATATGATCTTCATCTATCCATTTCCAGACTATGATTTTACACTAATGGGTGTGATGGTAAATATCATCTGATAAGTAGAATTTATTTTTTATTTTTATTTTTTGGGTAGAAAGTTAATTTTAACATCTTTACAAATATATAATTTATCAGCTACATAAAAAAAATATTTTTTTTTCTATTTTTAAAGACAAGAAAACATGTTTGGTAGCATAGTTTTATAAAATAGTTTTTAGGCAAAGAATAGAAACAATATTTCATCATTTTTTAAAAATTTTCTTTTAAGCTATATTTTTTTAGAAAAAAAAATAAGAAAAATTGACTTAAATGTATTACTTTTAAATAATAATAATAATGATGATGATAGGAAATTAATTAAAGCATAAAAAACATCTTCCAAAACAACCTTTTTTTTTCTTTCAAAAGGATTATATAAAAGAATAAATTCCAAGAAACACATTGAAAGAGTCCCTTCAAGTGTATTTTTGTAACATTGCAAATCTAAAACCAAACCCAAACAATAAATTAAAAGAAAATGAAAAGAGTAGTGTGATGCAATGATAGGACTTGATTTTAGGCATAGGGAATTTGATCGTGCCATGTTCAATCACATGGTTTCCCACAATAGGAAATTTTTCATAACTTTCTTAGAACAAAACTTTGGTTGAAATCATTTTGGTCCCAAAAATTTTATGTTGGTTTAGGGTGAGAGTCTGAGCAGAAAATGCGCGAGGCTTAAGTGGTGACAGCGGTTAGTGGGGACCAACCTCTCTGCAAACGTACAATCGATGGAAGCAGTTGCAACACTGGAATCTGCAGAGATACGCACCGAAGATGTGGCGTATCTTGCTGTAGTACCCTCTGCAGCAGGAAAAGGTGACGGATGACGGGGTTGCTACCACGGGCTGAGAATGTCCCCTAATGGCCTGTTAGAATCTCTACGTTGGTGAGTCCCATCACACCATACACCAAGCGTCCTCCTTGGTTGGCTCCAAGTGAAAAGGGATGCAATGCTACGACCACATGGTAAGTGAAAAATTTGTCACTCATATATTAAGGTGTTTTTCGTTCCTCTTCTCTTACAATTACTAATTTGATTGTCGACGAATATTAGGTGGGACACCGTACCAAGACTTGTTGTTGCAAGCTCGTTTATTCGACAGCCACTAGTTTCGAAAGACACGTAGACCTCTCCAAATCTCGACATCAACAATGTTTATTATATATATTTTCGTTCTTGAGTTTTTCAATGTTCTATTTTAGTTTATATGTGTGTTAATCTTCATGATTAAGTTTTCTTAAATTAATTAATCGGTGTGACATATATTTTTACTAAAAAGTGGGTCCATTCATTGACAAGTAGGTAAAGCCCATGTGTAAGAACTAATAGGTTAGGTGTCAAATTTTTAAAAGATTTAGATCTTATCAATATGTTAAATTTCCATATAACATATTGACATGTCTACATTTCCATTCACATATATCTATATATCTATAAATTTGGCATCGACACAATTAAGAAGTAAGAAGGTGAATCAATATTTTCATAGTATAACACAAAATTTGATAAAATATAAAAATATGACTAATATAAATATAATATTAATATTAATAAATTTTAACTTATTTAAAACAAAGAAATATTTATTTGTTATTTTAAATATTAGTTATAATTTTTTTTATATCTTTTAGAAATGTCCGATGTTAACGATATTTCTATCAATAAAACTTTGACTTATATTCCTCCCTCCAAAAACCCACATACTAAACATTCTTAAATACACCAATAATTGAATATAATATATGTTTAATTATGAATCCAACTCCTTCTCTCCCATCTCTCTCTCTCAAAATCAAAAGAATATGTTAGTAGTGGAAGATTCTATATTTTAATGGAGGAAAAAAGGGGTGATTATATTATCCATTCCTCAAAAAGGGAATAATTAATTAAAAAAAATCACATGTTTATGCATGTATCAGTAGTAGGTGATGGTGTATGATCCATCAGGCAGGTCAGTTGTTTTGAGACACTTTTTTTTTTTAATTATCCAATTTTTAATTTTGACACAAATTTTCTACTTTTACTTTTATTATTATTTTTAAATATAGCTTTTTTTTTTCTGTTGGGTTTTATGAGAGAATCTGCAGGCCTAAGTGGGGAAAGCTATGTTATGAAGCTATAAATTTCACTAATGGCAGCCCTATAGCCTTCTGCTGCCCTATTTTGACAGACACTAATCACCATTGGAGGGTTGTTTTGGCATTTTTGGTTTTTACTTCTTCATATGGGTTTCTTCAAAAACCTTCTAAAAAAACTCACTTGTATATTCAATGTATTGAATTGAATTTTACGATAGTATTAGATTTCCATTGACATGTCAGATATTTTTACCTGTCTATGAATTTAACACCGTCATAAGAGGTGAATCGACATTTCATATCATTGCACAAAAATCGACATTAGTTTTCTCGAAATCTTTCTTAAAAAACTTACTTATAAGGCTAGTATTTAAATTTGTTAACCAAACTTTTTAGGTTGTACCTAATAGTTTTTTAGCCTTAAGAAATATCTAATGTCTTTGGATTTTAGAAGTGTTTCTAATAGGTTCATGAACTTTCAATTTTGTTGTTTAATAGGTCTTTAATCTGCTCTACATTTTTTAAAATTTATGGGCCGTTATACATAAAACTGAATTTGGGGTATAATATGACTGAAACTTTTAAATTTGTATCTAACCCAACTCATAAATTTAAGAAAATGTCTAATAGTTGGGAGACCTATTAGACACAATATTGAAAGTTAATAAACTTAACTTTGGATTGTTTCTAAAATTTTTCTATAATTTTGGAAATGTTACTTAAAAACGAGAAATGAGAAATAAGAATCACTGTTATCAAAACGCTTATAACTGAAATTAAATGAGTAACAAGAAACAATAAAATGGAAATGTTATTAAACGAACTCCCGGATCAAGGAGCACGTATAGAAAGAGGTCTTTTATGATGCGGCGACAGAGTCTTTTGATGATGTCA